GGGGGGGGCGCACACTGATGGGAGGGGGTTACAGAGGGTGGGAGGGGCTTTTAAAAAATAATATATCTCTGTACATGTCAAAATCTGTCAGGCTTGAGCGAAACTAAGTCTCTGAGTGAAGCTGCCCCCAAACTGAAAGGATTGAGAGTCACTTCAAAAGAGTTCAGTCATTTTCGGCCGTTCCTCTTTTTTTCCCCTCTTCCTCTTCTTTCTCACAGCCAATCAAGGGACAGACCAGTCGTGCTCCGCCCTCCTCGCCTCGTTTCCAACCCGATCCCCCTTTAGGCTCCACCTTGTGCTGGTGGAAGGGGCTCAAAAGCAGGGGCTGAACAGGTGAGGGTGTGTCTCTTTGTCAGTAACATTTGCCCAAAAAAGCAGGGGGGGGGGACGTGGGAAGATGATGGTAGAGGACAGGACAGCCCACTGTTGGTGGTTGTGGTTCTAGCATTTGGATGTTGGCTCTCCAGTTTCCAGGTTTCCTCGTCTCCCATTCCCTCTCTACTCCTTCCTGTGCGGTTCGCTCTCTTCGACCTTCCCCACCGCGCTCCCTCTCACTTCATATCTACGTCAAAGTCCAGGACCAGCAGCTTGGTCTCCTCTGTGCCGTTGCGGCTACCAACCGCGCACACCAGCTTGGTGTTGGAGGCCCGGATGCGCCACACCACACCGCCGCTTCCGCCACTTTCCAGAGTCACCAGGTTACGGATGAACTCACCAGTCTTCAAGTCCCACAGTTTGACCGTGCCATCGTCCGAGCTGGTGATGACAAAGTTCTTGTTGAACTGGAGGCACGTCACGGCGCTCTGGTGCTTGTGAGGACCTGAAGACACAAAGATACTTATATTTAGTGGGACGAGGTAAAGAAAAGTATTTTTTTTCATGGCTTAAAATATTTACATTCAGGTTAAAGTTTCCAGTAAATGTGTGTGGATCAGTCAGGTCCTAAAACCTGTAACATAGGGGAATCCCTTTCTACCAAAGCTCGTGGAAAATGTTGGTCAAACGTGCTAGTCTACTGGCACATAAAGAATGGGTGAATTTAAAAATAATGAAGAACCCAGATACAGGGAAAGATCTGAAAGCAAGATCTCTGTCAGCCTGTGAGGTGAAAGAAGAGCTCTTACTCCTGAGGGTGCTGTGACAATGAGATCTTCGTACAGCTGGCAGGCTTTAGGACGAGCTGCCAGGGCTCATTCCTGTCTGTCACAGACGGTAAGCAGCTTCAGCTACACCTTTGTCTGGTCTGTTTGGTGCCAGTACATACCGGTTAAAGCGTGTAGTGGCTGAAGTGAGTTTATTTGTGACTGTATGCGTGACTCCTTCAGGCTTGAAAATCATACCTTGATTAAATCAATTAAAGCGAAAACAAAAACGAGTGCAGAGTCGAGTGCAGGCAAATGAACTGATTTTGACTGAATTGTGAGCTCAGATGCATTTAACTTGTTTCAGGATACACAACCTTTCACCGACGAAACCTGCTGAAATCTCTGAACAAGCGTTCACATCTTTTCTGTTTCCGTCTCTGATTAGTTCAAAGGCTGAGTTATTTACCCGGCTACACAATACTGCTCTGCACCAACCCCCAGCTTGGCCTGTCTCTCTCCTCCCTCTGCTCTTCCCATTACCACAACAAAGCACTCTGCTCCGTGATTACCTATGCGCTCTCGAGCTGAGAGTGACAGCCTTGTTGTTGGCCTATTGTCTTATCAAAACACACTAATGAATGGCAGAAATTGTCTGCTGACCTAATTATATGACCTACAAAGTTCCCGGGCCCTCAGTCTTTTACTGTAGTCACCTCTCTTCACCAGACAGACCCACAGTCTCCCTCCCTGCACGCCATCCCTCCTGCTCTCTTAAGGCTCTTATACGACCATCCTTTGTTGGGCTGCTGTGTGCGCAGCACCCGCATGCGGGTTTGGAGTTTGCTAATGAGGGCGGTTAGGAGTGGGGCACTGCTGGTTGCCACTGCTATTCAGCCAAAGGATTTCCAACATCCTGTGAGGCACCAGTGCTGCTAATGGAGTTAGAACTATTCAGACACAAAGGAAATGAGACTGTAATCAGGACCAGCAGGCTTGCAAGGTGTTGGCTCAGTTCTGCTCCACTTACACACACAAACAGGTAATTTAGATGGATTTTTAATTGGACTGTCAGTATCAAACAGAGTCCCATCTAACGTGTTTTTTGGTGTTGTTATCCTCCAAGGCTAGCATTGCCACTTTTCTACACTTTAAGTCATTTATTCATGGATCTATAAGTCTACATTTCAGTCAAGTTGTTTTGCAGCCACCTTAGGTGTAGCTGCTTTGAGTACAACATAACCAAGTCTAGTGGTATGAAAACAGTAGCACATCAAGACAGGACAGAAAGTTAAGAGAGAAAGAAAATATAAGAGTTACATCCCCAAAATCTCTGATGTAGCCTGGCTGTCCTGTCACATGAGACCTTTGTACTGATTTTTACTGTAAGGTCTGCGCATAAGAGCACATCTGAAATTATTTTATCAGAATAAAACAGCTAAGAGTCTGATCTCATGACTCCCAGCAAATAAACACAGAAATTTGGAAGTGATAAGCAAACATCCTCCAACAACACCCAAAAACGTTGGAGCCACTAAGGTCAAGCTCTTCTGAGTGGGAGACAATGCACCAGCTGCTGTGTGAGTACTCAGCTGAATGCAGTACAAAGAACACTTTTATTCTTTTAGGGTTTATCCAAACAGCAGTAAATGTGCAGCAGTTTCGTATGTATCCTACAACGTGTTTTGCCCGTGTGTGGTCCTGGAGACTTCCATTGCAGCAACAACTACCCGCAGCTTTGCCAACATGATGGACTCAGAAAAGTGTGAGATGTAGTCATGAAAAGTTAAACCTGTCATTAAAATGTAATTAGATTTCAATAACAGCTGAGACAGCCTCTGGTCTTCCAGAAGTTTTACAGTAACTCTCACACTGTTCATACTTCACTTTCCTCACCTTGCAGTGTTTGGAGGCACTGGCCAGTCTTGATATCCCAGATCTTGACGGTGGAGTCTGCATTGCCTGAGACCAGGATGTTGTCTTTGAGCTCCATGCCACTGGTGAGGGACTGGTGGCCCGTTAGCGTGTGGATGCAGTTGCCCGTCTCCACGTCCCAGACCCTTATAGACGTATCCAATGAGCCGCTCACGACGTGGATCCCATCGAACTACAGAAACAATGAATACGTTTAAATTGTCTGAAAATCAAACGGCCACCTCTAGATAACCAAAACTGTCACTTGAAGTTGGAGTTGACGGCAAAAGCACCTTACATTTCAACACTGCGTACTTTGTTTCTATTAACCTTAGACTAAACCCATTTAAAATGGATGCACAGTATTGATCTGTTAAAGCTTTTCTGCTGCTTCCCAAATCTAGTTGGAGAGAACCAACACTTTAAAAGTCTATCAAAGCAGCATGGCACAAAAACCAATCTATCAGTGCAGTAATCAGCCTCCTCTGTGAGGGTTATGGCACCAGCTAAAGTGCTCTGTCATCACACAGAGTGGATGAGAAGAGAGGACATATTAGAGGACAAACGGGTATAAACTTTTTCCCCCCTTCCTCCAAATGAACAAACAGCACACATATATGCTGGGACATAATAAATTAAGAATATAGAATTGCACATGAATATAAGATAAAGGACTAAAAAATCCATGCAAAAAGAGAGATCTGTTGTTTTTGTGCACCACAGGTTTAAAGCAATTGCCTGAGCCTAACAAGCAATATTTCACTCCACAGAAGTCCTTGGAGGACACGCGGCAGTGAACTTCCTACAGCTTAGGACAGTTAAGAGGAAAAGTGTACAGTAAAAAGGCCCGTTTAGAAGCTCTTCATTTAAAATTAACCTGTGTACTCTTAATAGCACAAACCACTCTGGTGACACAAACATATGACAACTGCCATGAGCGTGAAAGCATCTTTATGACTGTTTTCCCTTAAGTGTTACTTGAGTCACCTGTTGTTGCGTCACCAAAGTTTGGGGATCAAAAAAGGAAAAGTTCGAGGTAATCAGTTTGCTGCTAATTGCACTGTTATTTCAACATTTAAAGAACAGAAGGTCAAACCTAGATTTGCATTTGACATAACTAGTTTCAGGATTTTCTCCACTTGTTTTTAACACAAAAAGATGTTAAAACATCCACTGTCAAGGCACACGGTTCTTAATTTGCTGGTGTAAATCAAAGACAGCCTGCAACTATCAACTTAAGGAAATTATGCATGCCCACTGTGCCAAAATGTCTTTCAGCCCTTCAGTCTTTTGGCTTGTAGTTCTTCTCAAGAAGTTAAGCAGAGCTTTGATAAACTTTTCCTTTAAAACAGCAGTTTTTTGCGCCACGGACCAGTTTATGCCTGACAATATTTTCACGGACCGGCCTTTAAGGTGTCGCGGATAAATACAACAAAATAAAACTAGTACCGGTACCGAAAAAAAGAACATTTATTCATAACACACGTGAAAAGACCCAGGAAAGCCGAGTAAACGATAAAAACGATAACAAAATAACGCTGAAAACCGATAAACCCCTGAAAACTATACATTTCACACCTGAGCCACCCACAGAACTTCCACCAATAGTGTAGGAGAGGTGTCACATTTGCAGAAAAGATTGGATATTGTAATTTTGAAATGTTTATTTAAATTTTCTCCCATTCCTCCAGTACATCATTGTTTCTACCACAGAAAACTTCCACCGTCTCTGGCCTATGCTGCCGTGCTGAGAGAGAAATGCATGCATAAAACTAACGACTGTATTATGTTTGACAAATTGTAAGCAACAAGCTGTGTTTTTAGTAGATCACTCAAACCCACATGTGTTTGCTTGCCACCTTAATCTGTCCTACTCTCGTTAAGGCTGAGATGAACTGGTTGCTCATAAATTCTGGTAGAAAGTCACGCACACAACCGGCTTGCTTTATGCTGATTGAAGCCTTGTGCTATTTCTTTTAGATTAGCAAATCCGGCCCTTTGACAATAGTCAAACATGGTTAAAGCCTCTTTTATGCTCACATCAGTCTTACAGACAGCCCTTACAATAATGTAGTTAGACGAGTTCTTACATATATGGACCTAAAAACTACCAACTGCATCTGATTCATTGCGTCATAAACGAGAATGTTTTTATACGAGTTCTCAAAGACTCTAAAACAAAGTAACTCGTACATTTCATTTGGCTCCAAGGTTGATTGGTATACACCAGTCTTTTCTTTAATGCTGTGGGAGGCCTCACCTGTAATGAGTACACTCTGTTTGTGTGGCCTTGCAGCGTGTGGAGGCAGGTCTCCATCTCGGGGTCCCAAACTTTCACCATGAAGTCGTAGGCACCGCTGACCACCCGTCGCCCGTCATACTGGACGCAGCGCACTGCCGCCACGTGGCCCATGAGGACGTGTAAACACTGACCTGAATCAATGTCCCAGACGCGCAGCGTGGCATCACGAGATCCACTGACCACCCTGCATGACACAAACGCAGACAGTGAGAAAGGTAACCGTAGCACAACACAGATATTCAGGAGAGATTCAGGAATGAATGAGAGAGATGATGAGTACGGGTGCAGTAATCACTTCAAACCACCGTGAATTCAATAGCTGCCTTTATGCTGAGCTGCTTTCCCACAGATGTAACGTCCATTTAAAGTCATCCATTCTCCAAGATTAAATTCAATACTCCACACGACTGCTCATTCATAATATGGTAAATGCACTGACAGAATAATGAGGCACGTATGCACGGATCCTCACTACTCTGACAATGAGTAACCCACAGCATCACATTCATGTTCATACATGAATGTAGAAATAAACCCCCACACCTGTCTTTAACAGCCGCCCTGATCTGTGAAGTCACCCTGAATGGAAAGATATATTACCGGTTACAGGAAGAGAAACTCCTTTTAGAGTGACAGTTAGTCAACTTGAACATTTTTCAGATTATCACACTTAAGGTCAATACTTTCATCAACTTCCATCAGCTTCAAGACACTTCAGTAAGGACTAAGACGGGCATCTCTCCACATTTGACCTTAAATTTTCTACTGGCTATTTCAATTTAGCCAAAAATAAATAAATACATAAAATAAAATAAAACAAAACAAAACAAAACATGCTGTAGATACACACAGCCCATACTCTATTAAATGCCTCACGGTGCTACACAGATAGAAATCACCAACATGTTATTCACCATCTACCAGCAGCTCACAGCATTTCCACTGAGTGAGTAATCAAATGCTACACAAAAACCTTGGTGGGCCCTAAGGCGAAAAGAGCACTTCGAGTCTCCAGAGTGTGATACTGAGTGAATAAGTGAGCAGCAGTTCACTTAAGTCGCCTCACAGGGTCCATTTAATCACTATGAAACCACATGCTCTCTTTCATAGATGCTGTCCTCTTTTACCGTTGTACAGTTGCTCTTATTTACCAGATGGGATGGCTGTAAATGTGGGTGTGATGAATCATAAGGAACATTCAAGGATTAATCTATCCTGTGTTTCTTATTTCTGAAAGTTATATGGTTTTTTACACCAATTAAAACAAATATTTATCCCATAGAGTACAGTAGAGCCAAAAAAAAACATGTGAAACATGAGTTTGTGAGCTTTGGAGATGCTGCTGGACTGCTGTAAATGTTTGAGACAGACAAATTCACTGTTTCTGCCAAGCTATGCTAACTAGATGCTCCCTGTAGCCTTACATCTAATAAACAGACAAAAGAGGCACTGGTGCCTAATATGCTGTACACATGCAAAAAATAAATAAATAAATAAAAAAAAATTTAAAAAAAACCTTGTTTCTACCAAGAACTTTCAAAATAAAGGCTAGACTGTAGTAGATGGACTCTATTTTCACAGATACACTGGGGGGGGGGGGGGGGGGGGGATGAGAAGGGGGGGAATCTTACGTAGTTATGCATGCTCAATTTATGGGAAAAAAAAAAAGGTTTCATTTAATTCTTATTAGCACTTGAAGCCAATTTTGAAATCCATCCACAAGGTCAGGCAACATGTTTGAACCTTTTCTACAAGAGGATAAAAAAAATAAATAAGTAAAGTCTATACTCCTGTAGAAAACTGAACGACACACACAGACATGACATGAGGTAACCGGTACTCAATTTCCACATTTCATTGTGATATTATTCAGGCACAGATCAGGCAGAGCCAGCGTTCCTACCAGCAAGAAAACAAGAGTATTAACCCTTGGATGCACAACCTACCAATACCTACACTCTTCCACGAGTGGGGTCAAAAATGACCCCAAATAAAACAATGCATTTTGCTATAAACTCTGTTGTTATTCTTCAAAATCTTTAAAACGAAGAGTTGTAATATTTTCATATTTGAGGTATTCCTCATAAAACATGTTTGTGACATGAGGCCCTTTGCATTTTTATTTATTTTTTCATTAATTTTAAGAAATTGGAGTTTTTGTATCACTTTTGTATGCTTGCTCGGCATATACTGCAGAAGCTGGGTCTTCCCTCTGAAAGGCACAAGTTGTTCATCCACTGTAACACAATCACTGAGGATGAATTTCTGCCTGCAGTTGACCAGGAACAGGCCCCATATGTAGCGGAAAGCTGCCATGTGGTTTGTTTTCAGTCGTAGGCTCTGGTCCTCTTGTCATCAAAGTGCAAGAAACGGCGAATATCTTTAAATCTTTGAATTGACATAGTGGCCTTGTACAATGGGTTATGCAGAGGACTCCCAAAAACACACCACTGGTACATCCCAGTTCTTCTCACTTCCTGCAAGAGTGGTCAATCAAATGAAGGCTAGGAGCTTATTTGATTACATTTTTTCAAACCTTTCCCCTGTCTGTGGCTACTCTTCACGGCTCCATGTTTGTGCATGTCAGCACCTCTTCTATTATATTATCAGACATGAGCATCTTCCATGCATCTATTGGGGAGATAGTACTAAACCCAGGTGCAAGCCCTGGCCGTCTAATTCATCCTGTTAGACTCAATATCCATTTCCTCCGATGGGCCTGGATCATTTGTAGGGCCACAGGGATTCTAGCTGGCCTCATGGCGGCCATGTTACTTTAGATATTTAACAACAACAACAACAAAAAAAAAAAATACATCATAAATGGTCCGCAGGTGCGCATTCGCTGTCAAAATAAAAGTCACGCACCAGATAACAAGTTGCAACGCGCGTTTGCGTACATAAGATAATCTGGAGGAGGACAGACATTTGTTCAGAACTCTTAAAGATGTCGAAGAAGCAAGCTCCGTAAGCAATTACTTTGGTGTTCCTCCACCGCAAAAGAAGCGCATATTCTCGGAATTTCTTGGAATACTTTTATTTTGACACCGAATGCACACCTGCGGACCACTTATGTGCAGCCCTGACTATAAATCATGTCTGTTACTGTGTAAAAATGAATTCTTGATCCATCAGAAGTGTAAGTGGGACAGTCAGAGTTGCTAAGAATGAAAGTTTCATAGAAGATTCCAGAGGAACTGCTTGGGGTCATTTATGACCCCACTTATGGAAGAGCGGGGTAGTGATACAAAAACTGCATTTTTTTTTTTAATTAATGAAAAAATAAATAAAAATAGAAATGGCCTCATGTTACAACATTTTATGAGGAATACCTGGAATATGAATATATTACAACTTTTAAAGATTTTGAAGAAAGACAACATCTAAGGGTTAAACAAAACATGACAATTTCTTAAACAGGAAGGCGCACAGTTTCACACAGCAGTACACAATTGGCAAAGCTCACTACAATACTAAAATTGACCCATTTAAGGATGACACTAACAAAACTATTATTTTCAGAGATTGCTATATCAATAGCACAAAACGCTTTTCTGTTTATCTAAAACGCAAAGAAAATCAGTTTAATATCACACACGAGCGATGAAAGCAGCAATTAGTGGAACCTGGTAGTATTTGATAAGTTTAGCCTGAAAAAAAGGCTTAAACTAAATTTATTATGAAAAACATTTTCTACTCATTTCAGCTCAAGACTGATCGGGCAAATCTTCATCTCATCGAAAGCATCATAGAGCCTTCAAGCTTGGGCTTAAAGCACAGCAGTGAGCTGCTCCGTACCTTTTCTCATGTAGGTGCATGCAGCGCACTGTTGAGGTATGCCCATAGAGGGTGTGGATACATTCTCCCGTCTCTGCGTTCCAGACCTTGAGTGTGCGATCAGTCGAGCCGCTGATGATAATGTTGTCTCGCATCTGGGATGACCACACGCCCCCTGTGTGGCCCACCAATGTCCGCAGACACTAAAGAGGAGAAGAAGGAGAGTCTTGATCAGGATTCCTGATGGACAGTACAGACTTCTGATGTTAGAAAAGTTCATTTGAAAGGCATTTGGGGTGATGGCATTCATACATATCAAAGCTCAGCTTAAGAATTCATAAAATCTCATTCGGGATTTTCTCTTCCTGCATGCCCTCTCGCTGCCTTCAGGGGGGAAAAAAAAGGGAAAATTTAATTTGACATTTTACAGTAAGGAAAAACTGAGTCCACACTTGCTGCTGCCGTGCTGGGACAAAACCTCCCAGAGCTCTGCACAAGATTTAATGTAACTTTCAGAAAGTGGCCAAATCATTTGCAGGAAGGGTTGATGACAGTCTTCACTAAAATGTCTCCATTCATCCTCATTAGGGACAGGAGATTAGTTATTGATTACAGCACTTATGGAAATCTTTCTGATCAACTCAATCTGTGTCCAAGCAGTTTGTCTCATTCGAGCCTCCCAAACGCATTCAATTTAAATTCTTTTAGGGAGGAAAAAAACTGTAGAAGTTGCAGTTGCTGTGCTCATGTCAGGTTTAGAGTGGAGTCTGCCACTGAAATGTAACCCCCCAGAAAACTGCGTTGTATCCTGAGGATTACTTTCAGTGTTTGTGCACACATTTTAATTTCCATTAGTGATGAATGAGCGATACTGCTGCGTAACACTCAACTACAGGCCTGCAGTTTATTGCATCACGCTGGGGATACAATAATGCAGGATTTTTCCCATAAATCAAAGCCTCCAAGAACGAGAGTGTGATTAAAGCCTACTCAAACACTACGTGGGAAGAGAGAATATCTGAAATGAAGGGCTTAGGCATCTTTATCTGTCTGTGAAACAAACATAAAATAAGCCGGTTCCAAAGAATGAAAGAAGATTAGCGCTCGTTTAATGAATGTGTGAAGGCCTGCCTTTTTCCCCCCGTTTTAAACACATGAGGGTTTTCATACAATGCTTTACATTTGCTTCAGATCTCGTCTTGGTTTAAAAACTGTGGCGGGGGAGTATCCGCTTTAGCAACCTGAGAGCTGGCCTCATTGAAAGACAAATGCAGGAGATTTCCCTTTGTATTGAACAGCCCACCTTTCAAGACCTCAAATATGAGAAAATGTGGGCCACATGTAGGGCTCAATGTGGGTTCAACTAATGCTTAGCAAAGGTTAAAATAAACTGGCTCAGGTGAAGCCATCAGATAATTATAGCCTGATACCAGATGATTAAGAGATTACTGCGGCTATAGTTTCATTTCCATACTTGACTGTTTGACAGTAGAGGAACGAGAGGTTACAAATGTCTCAAGATAGACTATGAAACGCATAACCAAAGCGGCAGGCGAACAGAGTCTTACTAATGTGTTCTTCCCCTCTCTTATTTGCCTTTTCCATGTCTTGTGTTGATGATTTGATGACATGGTTTTGATCTACTGTTTGTCTCCAAGTACTAAGTGGATAATACAGACGTGTCACATAAGTATGGGTAATCACACGGTGCTTCCTCCACAGAAAGAGCGAGAGAGAAAAAAAAAAAGGCTTCATTATGAATGCACAATATTCAATCAGCTGAGGATAAGAATCTTGATACAGGTTGATCTACATGGAGAAATAATCCATACTTTCATTTAATGAATGATTTCAGATGCTCGCTAATCAGTCTGTTAACAGTTCCAAAAGCCACCTCTAATCTGTGGATCTCAACTTGTTTCCAGTTAAATAAAGGGGCCGCGTGTCAATGCGGCTAAAGCGTCTCGCAGAGGACACCTCTCCCTGAATACGACGGTAGTCCGCAGCTCTGCCATCTTAAATCTGCCTGACAGCTGAGGCTGCCTCTGACAGGCACCACCAAGGACACACTCTGCTCTGTTAAGCACAAGGTAGCCACCTTTGAAGCAGCAAGATGTGTTTGTTTGTGTGCTTGGATGGAAGATTGACGTCCCCGGCTGAAGCTGGAGACAAGCAAAGACAAAGGTCCATCCAGCCAAAGACGGAGCCTTCAAGAACCGTCTACGCAACAGTTTCTTCAGCAGGAAAAAGAAGCTTTGAAGATCTGCCAGACCACACGTCTCCAAGATCCAGCAGATAATGTTATATTGTTTAAAATTTAAGCACTGCTTGCTTCTTGCAGTACTTCCACCATAAATAAAACCCACTGTCTAACCTGATTACTAGCTAGCAACCCAGTTTTGTTCCAGGTGTGGAAGTCTTTATATAAAATATTCTCATATAATAATTCCCTGATTACCTCACAGAACGGGTTCAAGTCGCCATGTTTTACATAACAAGATGAATCGAGGGGGCAGGACAAAACTAGCTGCAAAGATGAAAAGGCAAATGCTGGTTGTGGTGTTTGTTAAAGCTCTATTTTTGCTGGAGTAACTGCATCTGATGAATATTTGTTGAGCAATTAAAAATTTAGGCCATGCTCATGCAAATGAGGCTTATTAATATAATGCACACTTTCTATGCTAAAAAATACCTAATGAGTTTGAAAAGTACACAATTCACAAAAAAATCTGGGAGAGAAGAGGGTATTGTCAACAGATTCATTAAACAGCCGATGGAAACATCTGATCGGATGCAGTATTTGGTGTAAAGACAACACTGAGAACATTTTGAATGCGGCAGCCTTTGAGTGACCCCACAGTATCCCATCACAGGGGAATTGTACCGATGCCTCTAAAGTGGAGGCAATGTTTCTGAGGCAGAGGAGCACAAACAGGAGGGAAGCGTTAATAGTGGTCTCTCTTTGGCACAAATTGTCTACGCAGTGACCAATTTCTTTTCCCATCCCGACTTTTTAAATCACCCACCTGCAAAGCATGCTGCTGCAGGTGGATCTCTGCACTCTCCTGGAGAAAAGGTAACCACGCTAATCTCGCTGAGCCAATTTACCTTTGTAATCTATAATCAGTCACCAAAGTCATTACTGATTTGAGGGACTACTTCTGACCCCGAATCAAACATACCGTCCTTTCAGAGCATGATTTATATATATATATAAAAAAAAAGTATAACACAATCACAGTTTCTCATCTCAGCTGATCACCATGCTGCAGTCTCTTATTGATCCAGGTCTCAGTAAGAGTTAAGTGGCAGGGCTGCAGAAGTAGAGACTGGGTGATTGTGCTTTGCTGAAGTTGAAAGATTTGTTTACAAAAAGGTGCAGGAAATTAAAATAAATCACCACAAAAAAAAAATTACAGAGAAAAGATAATGGCTACAATCTTGGGAGACGTGCAATATGACAACCCCCCCTCCACCCCAGAGAAATGATATTGATATGAACACTGGTAGTTACAGCAGCCATTGTGAGCTGTGTAACACTTCAAGATCACTGACAGCCACTTTACAGACCTGCATCTCAGAGACGGACTAAGAAAAAGTAGCAATCAAGTCTTCAAATAAGCTGGCAAAGACTATAAAGAATTCTGACAGCAGGGAGAAAAAACAAATCCAGGGGCTGGTAATCTCATTGTATTTTTACTTTACAGTTTTACTGGCATCGACAGCCACTTCACCGAAATGGTCGATTTGGCTTAACTGGCCATTCCTCTCCAGTGAGGGATTCACTCTCTGTGGTGCTGAGAGCTAAGGAGGCAAAGAGATGAAATCCACAGAGGGAATGTGTGCTCTGAATACAGCAACCAAACACGGATTTAGGCTCATCTCGCCTTCATGACTAATGTAAACAAACAATCCTGAGGCAGATTAGCATTGTAGAAAGCACATACAATAACCTCTGTCTGTGATGTCATTCTGAATGCAGGGTGGGTTGGGGGGGGGAGCTTTAGAGCCTGCTGGTGATGTGACTCATCACAGGCTTCCACCACCAATATGGAGCTACTGCAGCTATAATTCAGCAACCTGTCATCCAGATATTAGTCTTTGGGTGTAGGAGAGCCAAACTGTGCTCCATGCCTATCGGATGACCTTGGCGAGATCTGTTCAGATCAGCAAATGTGACTGTGACTGATATGCATGTAATCACCAGTTGGGAGAGAGCCAACTTTACTTTATGTGTTCAGCCGAATCTCCGCAGCAATGAAAAGCAAACTCAACTCTTTTACATGTGAAAGTGAGGCCGAAACGCCCCACTGTGATCATGCAGAACATCTTTTTTTTCCCCCCCTTTGAGAGGTTTTTCTTTGAAAGTTTTCATTTTTAAAGACGAAGTTCAAGCCCAGCCTTATGTCATTTATCTGAGTAAAAAAAGCAAAAGGGATAGACTGGGAAGAGAAATAATGAAGGACTTTTTGTGAAAACTTCTTTTGAGAAAGGAGTCCAGCATTGAGGCATGAAAGTGTTGTGATTTACCACGATCTGTAAAGCGCTCTCCAATATCACAGAGCAACCACTGCCTTTCTTTTTAATACACAGCGTAAAGCTGCAGCACAACGCCTGTGTGTCTGCACCAGCTTCAGCTATGAATACTAACACCGCGTGTGGACATGGGCTGTGTTACAAGTCTGCAAAATAGATAAATATAAGAGAGGAGAGACTGGGACAGAAAGCCGTCTTCCCAGGAAGATTTTTATGTGGTAGTGTAACGCAAAATTATATCAGTGGGAGCACTAAAGATACAGTATTTAAATCAATTCAACACAGTTGTTACCTTCACTTCTAATCAATGAGTGTAAAAAGTAGTATGATTAAGCAAACAGTCCATTATTCATATTAGTGCCTGCCTCCCTTCTCTTCTGCGTACATCCAAAATGTAACAGTATTCAACTCTTACCTTTCCTGTGATAGCTGACCAGACTTTCAGCGTGTTGTCGTCAGAGCCGCTGACGATGCGATTGCCACAGAACTGGAGGCAGGTGATCACATGGTCATCGTGGCCTTTGAGCACCTTTAAATGGGACACATGAAAAGAGATGAAGCGGGAAGGGCACGGAGGAAGATTTGATGTGGAATGACAACGCAAATAATGATGCTGACAGTAACACTTCTTATGCATCAAAGTGAAAATGTCATCAAGCGCTGCAGGTGTACACAGCGCTTTAAGCAGTGCTGCATACATTCAGTCTCAGCTAGTGGGTCACAGGACTGCGAGCTCAGCAACTGACAGGGCACACTGCATATGCAAAGGACTATAACGAGCGTGGGGAACTAATTTATGCCAGTCGCGGCCTAAAATGACCTGCAGCCGTTTCACAAACAGCTACAGCGTACAAGGTCCATTAAGGATGAGCTTCAGCATGCTGGTCATGCTCTATGAGAAGCTTCTGAACAGGTAAAAGAGACGGCGAGTCTTTAATGTGAAGGAGAATAAGATTTTCCTGTGCTCCAGCTCAATTAATATTCCAAACAAATACCTGGGAGCACAAACCTGACTGTTCACTAACTTTCCATCAGTTTAACACTTCAGACTCTTATTGAACCATCTTTCTGTGCCTCAAGGCCATTTGATCAGATCTGTAAAACTCCTCTAACCTGTGGGGAATTTAAGTTCGAAAGAAAAGCTACCTTAGGTGATTTGAGGTCCCCTCTCCTCCAGTTAGTGTCTATTCTGTGCTGCCTGATGTAGGCACTCTTCCAGGGGCTGTGAGTGAAGCCAGGCTTGACAATTTTTCTCTTCTTCAGGGTAAGGGGCTCATCGATACCTGTGAGAAGGGAGAAAAGAAGCCAGTTGGACTAAAATGTCCTTGTTTTTCAATAAAAGTGCATTTTTCCCAAACAGGAATAACCACAATTCTAAGCACAGCAGTCGCTTCAGACTGCTCCCGCTGGGCGACCGCATAGTGTCTGTCTGCCTGCATCTGTTGCAAACAGTTAGGCTCACCCTCTTCCCTGCATTTCTCCCTCCACAGCAGGTTGTCTTCTGCAAGGATGCGCCAGTAGCGACACGTCTGTGCTGCTTGGAGGAGGTCCTTCGGTTCCAGGAATGACAGCACGTATAAAGCCAGCTGTTGAAAGACAAGGACGAGCAATGTGAAAGGTGTAAAGCAGTAATGGGGGGAGGAAAAAGAAGCTATAACTTTCTACAGTTGATGTAAACAACAGTTTAAGGTGACATACATAACATATTTTCAATAACCTAATGGTCAATATATGATGTACATTATTTACAATGTACATCATATATTGACCAAGAAGAATAGACTAAGAGTTTACAGCTTGACCAGGAGAGACAGGATTAGAAATGAGTACATTAGAGAGACAGCTCAGGTTCAGCTGTTTGGAGACAAAGAGAGAAGCAAAGCTGAGACCGTTTGGACATGTGCAGAGGAGGGATAGTGAACATACTGGACAAAGGAAGACTGCCAGGTAGGAAGATAAGAGAAAGATCGCAAAAAAGTTTCATGGATGTAGTGAAGAACATGCAGGAGGTGGTGTGAGAGAAGAGGATGCTAGGGATAGGGTGAGATTGAAGCTAATGGGATTAGCCAAAAGCAGAAGATGACAGGTTTACTTTTTTAGTCTTGTGAGATGAAAACCTGGATGATTGTTTCCAGAAGTCCCGTTTCTGTCCATCCAAACTCACATTAATGACTTTTCAAACTAAAACTATCCCCCAAAAGTCCATTTCAGGGTTTAAAGTTGTGACATGGTGTGGGCTCTAGGCATAAACGCAGCACACATGATAAAATTAAAGTGTTCTAGTGTGGATGTGCTGAACAAATATAGGAGAATAAAAAGGAATAAGGGGGAGAAAAAATCTAAGAAAACAAATGCAGGATAATTAGTGTAGCTTGTACAACAGTCGTTGAGATGAGTCGGCATGTCTGTAAAAAATTTTACATTGAGCTTCTCAGCGCAGGTACAATGCTACAGCTCATTGAACCAAATGAGCATAAACCAGAAAGATAGTCACCTGCTTTTTTGTTCCACTAACAATCAAATTCAAATACATATATATTTGCACAAAAGCAATGAGCTGGATCACCTGTTAGGTCAAGAGATTGTTGTGCATCTGCATAAAAAAGGATTACGGGTTCATTTGACAGTATGAGGCGTAAGCTGCTGTGTAAATATTGTTCTTTCATTATCCGACAACAATATGAGATGACAGCGACCCCACGACAGAGTAACAAATTCAGGTGTGTTGCCACGAACATCAGCATGGAGTCAAATTACTTAGGATGGTCTCCAGCTGTCAATTATTATTGATCTGAAAAGTTTAGGGAAAAATGTAAAGTCGTCATCATATATAATTTCTGACAGCTCAAAGTGATGTGCTCGTATTGCTTTTCCATCACAGCCAATTAATCAGTTGTCTTCTCCATTTTAATTAATGATGGATCCATAATAGTGACTGAGAATCTGTCTATACTCTATTCAGCTATAGTGAATTAATATGCTAGATTCATCCACACAAAATTAATCAGTCAAAAGTAAGTCTTAATTTGTTCAATCATCTCTTCTCCTTGGTTTAAATGTGTTACACTACACAGTTAGGTCTACTTCAAGTCACCGTTATACCTGAATCACCCCAAAGCCCATCTAAGCCGGCCATCATTACAGGCTGGAGGATATTTTAATAGTTTTACAAATCAATCTCAAATTGCTTTTAAAGTCTGACACTCAGCCTTCTGCAGAATCTGTTCATAGTTTCAATTTCGACTGTATCTCAAGTGTAACCCACAGGGACCGTCCTGCTAAAATTACTTGACAGCCACAACTAATATTTTTCCTGGAGCTGGATCTAAGAGGAGAGGTGGGATTATCAAAAGAAGTCAAAGCCGCTTGTTGTTGTTGTTGTTTGGTTTCTTTGCTCATTTTTCTTTTAAGGAGAAACAGAATGAAAGGAGAGGTCTCATGTACCGGTGCAAACACACATAAAGCTGTTTGTATATTTGGCTTTAGAGCAAGTGACACCAACACCTTGAAATGTTGCATCCTATTGCCTCACTCTCCACGCTACCCCCACCCACCCTCAATCCTGACACCTGCCAGACAAGGTGTGAAGTCTCTGATCTGCTACACAAGCTTCAGCAAATTGAGGCTGATTTGTTAAGAATCCCCTATGTCACATTATCAGCGTGCCACTTTACATTGTTTGTTTTGTCAGTTATGATGTAGAGCAAAAAACAAGACACCCACTATGGATGCCCTAAAATGATGCGAGGGAAGACCGACGGACGATCAAGGCTGAGACGACTGCCTTGTGTCTTTTTGAGGTGCGTTCATTCGAGAACAAATATAAAAGCTTCTTGTGGGAGTTCAGGTCAGAATACACAGGAAGCTGAGGCAGAGGGGGCGAGGCGCTTGAGGGGAACTCACTTCTTTGGGCAGCAGGGAGATGAAGTCTCGCTGAAACTGCGGCTCGATCACCTGCATCATATGCTTCACTTGTGTGGGCTCACAGCTGTCAATCAGCTCATCCAGCGCCAGCAGCTTCTCTGGGCCAGTCCAGCTCTGGAAGACACACACACACACACACGCACACGCACACGCAAAGAGAGAGAAAATTGAAATTATTCAAATGACTTTACTTTGAAGACGGGAACCATTAAATGTGGCTTTTTCAAAGTCGAAGCCTGGGTCAATGGGAAAAAGAGGCCAATTTAGTAGAAAACACCAGAGGTGCAATGGTGTCAGTCATGTACAGAACATCACAGCAAAATGTAATGTTATTTTAGATCAAAACTTTCTCCCTCGCCGCTACATTATGTATTATGCTTGGGAAAAATATGTATGACAAGAAGTTAATTTTAAATCTAGGGTTTACAGAGCTTCTAGCAGGATTTGATGACTTTGCAGCAACATAAAAAAAGAGGAGCTTTATGGAGTTTTCTTGTAATTTACCTTGAAGCCTAATGAATGTGTTGAATGCATTTGGTTTCCCATAAAACAGATGCAAAGCTTTTTCTTCCTTCAATTTAAATACAGGATTGTGTGCATGAGGAAAGAAAACAGTGACCCACTTGTAAAAACATTTCTTTGCAGCCAAAGCTATGAGGCAAGTTAAGAGATTACCCAGAGGAACCGAAGGTTTATGTTAAAATAATATGACTTTAAAGTGATTTTATGAACTTTGCTTTTATTTATCCAACCACAATAACTGTCCCTGCTACTTTTACAAAGATTACAGGTACCTTCCCTGCTCTTATTTCGGTCTGTTCCTCTGAATTGTGTGCCTTTTTCTTTGTCTGGTTGCTCTAAACCACCTGGCAGTGGACTAATTTAACACCATCAGCAGCATATTTCGTATACATCCACAAGTAGCACAAATTGAAAACAGCATTGGGGCATTGTGGGAACAGAATGACGCCTACGTGTTCTTGTGTAAGTTTTTCTTCCAAGTCTGAACTTGGATTGGAGCGCCTTGGAAGCATCCTTCCTTGTGCAGGATGCCTGACACCTTAATGTTCCCTACGTGCCCTCCACTGCAGCACCGGATTGCTCGAGGCACCTGCATATTTCCAGCAGTGGAAAATGTGAATACGAGGAACTAGACTCCATCAAGACCATTATTAGTAGTCAGCATGCTTATTTCTTCTGCTTGAACATTCAGTTACTGCTGAGCAGCTCTCTAACCGTATGTTGGACCCCACAGTCATAGTTGTTTTCCCCTCTGTGGAGCACTGAAATCCAGACAATGATTACAGGCTACGAGGCAGGGTGGAAAATCTGGCATACGCAAACCACCTGTAATTTGGCAGCTAAAAGCTTTAGCCAGAGGTGTTGGTTCTAAAGCTAATCAGGCAGTTAAGAGACCCCCTCCCTGACAGAGGGAGGGAGGGGGCTGTGCAACAGCTACTTATGTGTTTTCACAACTGATAATTTGCACTCCCACAGAAACCTGAACACCAGAGCTCCACAGTTCCCAACCAGTGCTGAGAACCTTTTTGTCCAGTAAACTTTCAAACTACAGCCTGCAGTGTTTTTCAAAGATGCTTTTTTCTAATTTAAGCTTGACAAAGTGTCCGTAGACCAGACCTGGGCAACACAAACCCCCGGACGACTCAAAAAACAGTCCAAGCTTCTCATACAGCCCCTCAAACTAAACTTTCTTTAAAAAACAACAACTGCGAACAAAACAGATTACAACAAGGAGGATGTCTACAAGCTATAAAGACTAAAGAGGCAATCATGTGATCTTTTACACCAGTTCTAATGACAATGACAATTAAGACTGAGGCCCATTGTTTTTACACTTCTGCTCGAGTACAAATTAAACAACGGAGATATGCTAATGAATAAGCTTTAGACATTAGGTGGATTTTGTTACCTTTAACACAGTCATCTTAAGAGTTTCCCTTTGTTGCCACTCTTTCTGCAAAGCTAATGTAAGTAGCCACTTGTTGTATCTTTACATTTCATCTAAAGACACGAGTGGCAGCAGATTCCTCATTTAACTCGACAAAAAGGAGAAATAAGCCCATTTCTAAAAATCTCCAACTAATCCTGGGATGTGATATGCGAGGTGTCGGTGATGGTGCACGTATGTAAGAGGTGTTTCTCACTAACGGGAGCTACATGCAGGCTTGGACTGGACTGGGGAATGTACAGAATGTGAACTTGAGGTTTATCCCCCTGTAGCTTCAGCTGTACGATTAAAGAGAGCAGACTGATGTTCTGGCCTGAGGACTAATATATGTAAAACAAACACCAAGGTGTCACGGGTTCACCCTGCTGTTCAAAGATAATAGGTTTAAACTCTCTTAGGTAATGAAATCCATGGCAACCCATTATATAGAAAATCAGAGAGGCCCAATCCAGGCTAATATGTTTAAATGACATCCTATTTCCTTGAAGTCATTAGCGCTTCAGTTTAACATGAAAGAAATGACTCTATTAGGTTGTATCCATCAGACAATGATAACATAGGAAATTTACCATAAATAGGGGGTAAACTATAATATTACATCATGTCTTTGCTAGTCTCTAGAGTAAATGACAGTTAATTACTTAAGTGGCTAAAAAGAGGACAAAAGTTTTTATGCCAACTTTGCTCATGGAAGACATTCACACTGAAGTAACGTCTCCATTTCAGAGGATCGCAGAGGGAAAAAAAGAAGAAGAAAAGCACAGGCCATGACTTCCTTTAAAAGGATTTTAATCCCAGTGGGAGTTCCTGGTTAAATAAAGGTTAAATAAAAAGTGTAGAGTAGACTAATGTGATCTTATAACTCTGCTTTTCAGTCTGAACAGGTACGGCTAATCCCAATTCCACGCTACAGTGCCTATGGTAATGTGCTGGGCCACAACAACAAGGCAGCAATTATCTCGGAGACTAAGTGAACATTGATTGGACGCAACATCTGCTTTGTGATGAGCTTTTCCTCGAGGGTTCAGAATCGCCCAAGAGTGGGGGAAAAGAAAGAAAAAGAAAAAGACTCCAGAGCGCTCACCTGAAATGTTCGGAGCCATTCCTGGAGACCCGTGGGTGGCTGGATTGAGGTGATACGTCGTCTCTGTTGCCCCTGACCATTGGCTGTTCTGATGTGGCCAAATGTGGTGGGTGTGGCCGGACATGGGACAATTCCCGTCGGGCTGTAATTTTAAAAGGGAGGAAACAAAGCATCTTGAAGACCAATGCTGATATGAGACCTTTAAAGACAAATAGCGTAACTAAATTGCAGTCTAAGTAGGGGTGTGGAGGCTGTAAAAGCACTGCTGTCACTGCAATTAAGAAAAACACATGTAAATATTACACATCCCAGCATATTCTTAATGAGAATAACAGGAAGCACATTATGAAGGGGCTTTTTAAATAAGCTTTGCTGCAAACTCTGCTAAATCAAATCAGGCATGGACGAAAAAAAACAAACAAAACGAAACCTTTTTACATTCAACTTTCATCTTTTGTGTTATCTCTGACAATTATGACAGCAATCAAGCCCAAGCTTTTATTTTGCAGGCAAATTTTAATTTTTAATTTTTTTTACTTTAGTGCAATTTTCTTAATTAAATCCGTTCTTAGTTATTATTGGGAAGTCATAGGTTAAATCAATTAAACTGACATTTACTTTAAAAATGATTATTATTTTCAAGCTAATCAACAACTCTACATCTTTATCACATCGTAATTACTTCCAGAAAAAAATAATTATTTGCAGTAAGAAAAAGTTACTCTTCACAAAAGCATTGCAATTTAAAAAATAAAATAAAATAAATATCCACCTTGTCTGAGTGAATTAGTGCCGACTGATTAACACAAGGCCTCTCTGTATAATGCAATGCAATTCATCACCATTCAGCAGCACAAGCTACAACCTCCAGAATGTGCATTACAATGAATCAACACCTCTTTAAAACCATTTCAACAAAAACTGATCAATACAACCTTCACGGAGACGGGATTTATTGCAGAGGAGCATTTGTTCTCGCTATGTATACTTAATAAAATGGCAAGTGTTATTTCTAACTCAGACTTCAAAGTGTGCACAGTCCCACATATTTCTATTCAGGCCCAGAGTCTCCTGCTGTATCTGGATGCGGAAGGCAGCACAGGACTTCAAAGTGTACCCATGTAGCCTTGTAATGTAAGGGCAGCAGCAGAAGCCATCCACTGGGCACCCTCTATGCCTCACATTCTGCTTGCTGACAGCAAAATGGGAAGCTGGGGGTCGATTTCATTATCGATTCATTTTTAATGGGAGAGGAAGCTGAGACGGAGCGAGTTACATAGCAACATTTACAGTTAAGTGGCTGTGTTCAGTTTGAATTTTAATGGAGCTACATGTGAACACGGGCATTAAATATTCAGGGTAAGAGAAACATCTGGGACCACTGGCTGGCTGGATGGTGCAGACAGAATGGAAGAGGGAGCATCCCTCTGTTTACACATATACAATGCAAACCTTTGTTTATGCCTCCTGGCATTTTTTACTGCTTGCCTTGGTAGTCCCAATTATAACATGTTCAGCATTAAAACAATGGAGGAAGAATTTTTACTTTATTATTTTCTACCATAATCTTTTTGATCCTAAGATGATAAACAAAAATACAACGGAAAATGAGTCTCTGTGGATAGCTGGGGTGCCTTATGAGAGAAAAAGCTCTCTTACCTCGGATACTCTGGACCTTTGCAGGGCTTTTTTCCTGAAGGGAAAGATCGGACCTCGGGACCATGGTCCAACTTTCTCTTCATCTGAGGAAGAACAAGGGGAGAAACAAAAACCTTAGTAACAGTGAAAGCACAAAAGTGGGAAATTTTGTATTTAAAAGCTAGAGGCAACCTTTTGGACATAAATTCAACTCCATTCTGGTAACTTTCTTTTAGAAACAAAATCTAAACCAATTTAGTTCTAAGACATTAGCCCTTGAAAAGAAAATCAAGAAGGGACACGGGTCAGGGAGCTATTTTTTTTAAACTGTGCTGGAAGCAGAAAATTATTCCTGCAAGTTACAGACTTTGTTAGCATAACGTCTGAATTTTTGCATATTAAAATACAGACAGCACAGTCTTGCAAAAGCTTTATGCAAATGGAAAAAATTAAACTTTTATGCATGGGCTGGAGATTCAATAATTAACATGTGCCATAACAAAGCACAGAGACATGACCAATCTGTCCGTGACACAGCTCAGCATACACTCTGAGATGGCACATCACAGAAAAGGTGTTTTTCAGTGCTGTGTTTAATTTTGATTGAGAGAACTGAGCAACCAGAAATCCAATAATATGCAATAATAGGTAACCGCACTCACACCCAAACTCAAAGGATAAAGCATGCCTGTACGCACAAAATAACCACAAAGTATAACAAGTTCCTCAAGCAGGTATTAGGGTTTATTCTTTGAAATGCGCCAATAATTCAGAAGGAAAAGAAAAAAAAAGAAGCAAGTCAGTTCTTTATTATTCTCCATCACCTCCACGTACGCAACACCACCCAGTCCCTGTTACCACCTACCCTACCGTGCAAACAAAGGAGCCTGTGTAGAGGCCCGGGCAAGCCAATTTTCCTCATCCCATGCCTGCCACTTTCTTTGGCAAGGCTTCTCAACACACATGCAAGTGATCACCATCTCATCTCCAGTCCCTCATGAATAAACAATCTAGCTGAATAAATGAACACTGATTTTTAGTGTCTGGCCAAAACAATATACAATCTAACAGCCTGGCCTTGTTCTTTTTAATATTTAAATATATTTCATATTTCAGTGAAGGCTTTTGTAGATTTAAAAGTAAACCCATGGATTCAAAACCAAATCCTTTTCCGATCCTTATCCTTGTAGCCCAGCTCCTTTGTAATATCAGCAAAAGTATGACGTAAAAAAATATATATATATCAAAATGCACTTTAATTATGCATCAAGTCTGCAAGAAACAAGTATTTTCATTATCAGTTTATAAGCTTATTATTTTCTCGCCCCGTTGTCATCAGTATGGCTTTCAAATATATTATTGGTGCAAAAGTTATGTTATAAATTTTACCTGACCAGTTGCATTACTGACTAAGACTTGATGCAGTCATACTAGCTCCCATGCAGAAGAGGGTTCTCTGTATCTTCCTGAGAGCCTGCACGCAAAGAGTGGGTGCAGCTCCGTCTCACCCATCCATACACAGACCCTGATCTTTGTGAGGAAGGTGGGGAGAATCAAACACTCAAAAGTGTGGCCGCACTTCGCTGATGGTGCTTGTTGCCACAAATGCAGCAGAACTTTTTCTTGTAAAGGCAGAAACACAAACAGCCTGTCGAAACATTTAGTGGAAATCCATCACATTCAGGCGAGGGGATTCAGTTGGAGGTTAGTGATGTGATCTCTGCCTATACAGCCTACTAGAGCTACCCTTGGAAAACATGTAACACATTGTAATGGTTGTCAAACTACATCTATATTGATATTAACTGGGGCGTCAACTCATCGTCGTTATGGGGGGAAATAGTTATATTATATACTAATGCACGATATCTTGTTCTTAATTTGAGTCATCTCCAATAAAGTATTGACAATTGAAGCACCAGAAAGATAAGCGGAGCAGCTAAGAGTTATAGTACTGTTAAAATCTCAAGGTACAGCTCAGGGTTAGGGGTCATGTTAGGTCAACACTGGCGAATGGTAATGCTTAAAAAAGGAAGAAAAAAAAAAAAACTAAACAAAAAACTGCAAGGCCAAGCACAAGAGACTTCATTTAAAAGGTCATAAATTCTAACTTCTGAAAAGGTATTTGTTCAGCATGTGGCTGAAACACATCCAAAACCCATCCCTGAATATTTGTCAGGGATCTGATGGGTGTAAAGATGTCGGAGCCAAATGCTAATGTGTGTTTTGTTCACTCAGCCATCCAAAAGTATTAAAAAAACAAAACAAAACAAACCCTGAAATTGAAACAAATGACAGGTGTGGGGTGATTGTTTTCTTATGAAGTAAAAACGGCAATCCATCTCCTAACCCTACTATTGAACTCATCACTGCAGTTCTAACATCAATGATTTTCTCACAAGATTATAGTACTCGTGGCGCAGCAGTTTAGGGTCAAAGGTATTTGGCAACAGTTTGTTTACAGTTACAGTCCAGCCTGTTGTGCTCCAAACACACAACCTGAAAGTTTGCTCCTTGAACGCTTCTGCGACTGTATAATCGGATGATTATGCGTAGAAGCCAGAAACCAAATGTAAATTTAACTTTTCCCCCCTTTGACACAAACAATGCATTTTTTTTGGTGTATTATTGTAGTTCATATGCGACACAGGAAAACACCACTGGACATTTGACTCCATACTGTCTGGCGCTACAGTGGAATGATTACATGCTTCTCTTCAAAGATGTGTGTTTTTTTGTTTATCACTATAATTTGGTGTGTGTGTGTGTGTGTGTGTGTGTGTGTGTTGGTTTTCACTGTGTTTTAAATGTGAGGGTTGCTCATGTGAATGTTGAGAACAGTGACACACACAAAAAAAAAGAAAGAAAAAAAAGAATGTGGAAGTAACATTTGCCCACGACTAGAGAAATGCTGAATAACGAGCAGCACATCTGCACCGGCAGCACATCTGCACCGGCAGCACATCTGCACCGGCAGCCATGGACTTCTTATCGATACGGATTCCTACCTTAGTTTTTAATCTTTACAGACTCTGTGCCTTGAAACTTCCGACAGGCAACCAAAGTCTGAGCTTATACAACACATGCGCATGATTAGCACATCAATGTGCACTGCAGGTAAGGTGCCTGCTGGACACCACACTGTGATCTGACCAATGATTTGTGATTCTTTCCTCACAACTCAGCTCATGCGTGAAGCCGCTGAAAGCTCATAGGGAGGAACCATAAAAACCTGAAGTAATTCATGAGGGGGAGGTACAGAAAAGAAACTCGAAAATTTGGCAACAAGAATGCAAATGTAGTCCAAGCTAGGCAGGTACATAGCTTGTGTTTCCTTTGTCTACATTTTTTGCTTGTGTGATTGCTGAATAGTATAAAAAGGGGTTTATAAGATATTCAGGATTGTTAAGACTGGGCTCTTAAACCTGGCTGCCTTGTTCCTAAAGTGGTGATCTCACTGCAATGGCAGTTCAGTAGCCAAGGAGAGCCTGGGTGTGTGAATGCATGCAGAGGGTGTGTATGTGTGTGCGCGCGTATGTTTTTTGTGTGTGTGATTCAGAGTGTGAGAGAAGAGAGGGGAGTGCTGGCTGGCTTTGAGTGTGTGCACACACATGTAAGAAAACCTCAAACTAAATGTGGGCATGAAAAAATAATGTGTAACCAGCCTGTTCTGCAGCTTCAGCCTGGGAAAAGGTAACCAGAGAACACAGTGTTTGTAAATCACCACCAATCAGCCGTCCCCCTCCTTCCTCTGGCTTCCCCCCCACCCCCACGTCCCTATCTGGCCAAAAGCACGACAGATGGATATGCAGAGAGTTAATGATATTTTAAAGACAGCGATCATTCTTACATAATGTGTTGATTCATTTTAACGGCGACTACATCCTGCAGCATCAGTCACGAGAAAAGGCTTTTCTCATTTTTCAAATTGTGTTTTCAAGCACTCGTCAAAGAGTTTCTCCTCATTTCAATCAGCATTGTTTGAGGCACAGAAACGCTTGGGATCTGAGAGCTAGTTGAAGGAGTTTTTCCAGGACCAAAACTGCAATCAAATCAGAAACACGGGTTTGAATTCATCCTCAAGAATGAGAGTCTGCTACTACGAGCCCCGCAAGCAGCACTAATATATTTGCGCTCTGCAGGATGACTTGAAAATCCTGATACGTCTGAGAATGAGTACATCCTTAAAATGGATGGAGAATACAAATGAGCATGAACATTCAAATCAATGAAGCGCTATTCATCTATTAACAAGACTCTCGTGCAATTATTAGGATTAACTGGATAAAAATCCCCCACCCCAAGGGATATTTTGAACCGCGTTTTAAAATTATACACGATTAACGAATTTGTTTACATTGTCTGAATTATAAATTCTCTTTCATGCTTTTTTTTTGTTGTTTTCCCGTGTTTGTTTGTACTCTGCATTTTCCAGCTAAGAGAGGACGATTTTTATGGCTGCAATCCAGCATAATACACCCAACATCCTTGAGGATATTCTACCTCATGCTGTCTGACACAGTGACCCATTATCTGTAGTTGGAGCCTGAGGCAAGTGCACAGTGTCAGGGAATTGGCTACTCCAACAGGCAAATGCAGGCAGACTGATGCATGCATGCATCTCAAGCAGTTACTTTGGTCAGTGGGAGATAGCCACTGCTGCATAATGTACAATCATAACAACCCTGCAAACTGGGCAGGACTGCAGGGGAACCTGGGCGTCTGAGCTTGAAGCCCTTATTTCTGAATGTACCTAAGCATACATGGTGCTCCATCAGCGCTGTATTACGTAAAATGTGTAATTGCTTAAGCACCTACTAGGGTCTGAAAGGGAGGACCCACAGTTGATGTACAGGTGCAGAGCATCTTACCAACACTGATGGGAGGTAAGGGGGGAAATACATTAAAAAAAATAAATAAAATGGGGGCTTCGTTCCATTCAGGAGTGTATAACGCCTAATTATAAGCACATTTTTATCGGGGATTGCAGAATTAAGCACCCCCAAAGCAACAACAAATTCACCAACGCGATGAATGTCACCCGGAACCGCGGCGGTGGCGGCGTTTATTTACACAGCCGAAGTTACTATGACGGAAAGGACGTCAAACGGCTTAGTAGCGTATTAAAAGATTTTAACGCAACGCTAACACAACATTACGGCCTGGGCAATTAAAGAGGCATCTCTGGGGGTCTGCTACAATGCTGTCCATCCTCCGCAGTGGCCGTACGATCTGCCGCGAGAGGCGCGTCAAAGATAATGTGGGCGACAGAGCGAGCCAAACACACGGAGAGAAGATGAGGATGTGCCGGAGGTGACACGGCGGATAATACGAGAAGAAATCCTACTCACTTTGTAGAAAATCATCTTTAAAGTGCCGTAGAACCCCATCCTTGTAATCCGGTGTGTTTCCCCCCTTTTTTCTTTGCTTCTCAGTGACAATCGGTGAAGTCCAAATCTGCGTGTGCGGCGGCGAGATCGCTCTGACAGTGTGAGGGCAGTGTACTCTCAGGTAAATCCGACGCTGGCTCTGATGTGAACATGCTCGGGCACGTCACCGGACTGGCGTGCATGCAGTAGATTCCACCGGTAAAGACATTAGCAGGGGAAAAGAAAAAAAAGAAGAAGTAGAAGAAAGAAAGAGGGGGGAAAGCTCCGTCGTATCACGTCGACTTGAAGGGGCTAGGTCGATGGGTGAACAATGCACTGCGACGATTCCGGAGGCTTGTGCGCCGCCGAGCAGGGAGTGAACAGATGAGGGGGAGAAAGAGGGTGATACTCGGCAGAAAGGGGGAGGAGTGCAGGAAGAGAAGCGTCAGAGCACAGAGCAGTGCCCTCTTCCTCTTCGCAGGCTGCACGACGGCTCCTACGAACGGGATCGGATTACAGCCTCCCCGCTGGAGACGACAGGAATGGTGCAGTCCAGCATTCAACACTGTGCGCAGCGCATCCCTCCGCGAGCGGAGCACCCGGGGACATATGCGTAGCAGGCGACATGCAGCACACACACAGAGACCAGGTGGGATACGGACTTGTCTTCACTCGTCGCATCAAAGGCGGAACCCCCCGCCAAACGCACACACACTTGTTGCAAGCTCCAAAAACACACAGGAGCCATCCTCTGCGTCAAATTATACTGAAGATTACATTTATTACGCACTGATGGAAAGTCAAAGTCCTCTCACTACACCGCTCACTTCTCATCACTAAAAATGGGGATTTTTATTTTATTTTTAATTTTAAATTAAACGTAACAAAATATCTGTTTATTAAATATTAGCGCTGTGAATGATCTGGCTATTTTTAGGTTATTCTAATATTTTAAAATATCAGAAAGTGCAAAAGCTGGCCCGTGACAATTTGCCTTGCTTCCTTTAATCTATCGTTTTATTCCACTCCCAGCACAAATCCAACATGTATTTCACTGTCATGTGAGAAAACCTAAACGTTGAGAGCTTAATTGGCTATTTCTGCCTAGAAGAAGTGACCCAAGTGATTGATATATTAGTAATACCCAAAGGTAAACATTATAAAAGACAAACAAATTAGCTAAATATTGGCCAGCAACAGTTCAATTCTCACTAGGCACTCAGACCGCACACCTCTGCCAAAGCCGATGCCCAGTATTGCCATTGAGTAATTTGGATTTTTACAGGAATTTAACATGTTCTTTCCACGTGCTTTGGCTCTATATAGGCTTCTGCACCGGACTGCTGCATTAAAATGACTGTCAACAGATCACATGACAGAAAACAGTCAGCCATTAAAACCAATCAGGCAATATGTGAATGGATCTATATCTGCTGCACCTGCTTCCTGCAGGACAGTATTTGCATTTCAGGATGGCAGATAATAGCCAACTGCACCTGTCCAGTTACAAACACTATGTACTGCTGATAGCTTTACAACTATGATTAGAGATGGGAAAATCCACAACCTTAAAATGGGAGCTTTAGTTTGAGCAGGTAAAGATAATCTGTCAAAACACATTCAATGTTCCAGTGAGATTTCTGCTCACTGGAACACCGAACCAAGTAAACAAACCAATGATGCTCCTCTGCTTAGCCGTTCACGATAAACACATTCAAATGCATTTGTTTGAGTAATTTGGACAACATGACTGGTCATACACGACAATCCTTTCCGATTTCTCAACATTTTCTCCTACAAAAAGGTTTTTGACACTCGGTGCAGAGTTTGTACTACACCATTCGTTTCAAGTGGTATCCAACATTTGCAACACTTGACCTCATACGACATCAGCTTCAGATCATCGAAACTGCGGAGACAATGAAGGGTCATGGGATGGGCTCTATTCACAGGTGACTGTGCACTGAGATCTGGCAGCCTTTCAGACTCTCCTGGCTTACACCTGTAATTACAGAGTGACCTAGCACAGGTGGGAATTTTAAAGCTGGCAAAGAAGAGATGCCTGGTAAAAATCTAGCACAATCCGAGTTACATCTTGAGGCTTATTTTGCATTGTAATGTGCCTAAAGGGTACCGGTACTGTATGATACATGATTTATTGTTTTATACAAGGTATACTGGGACTTGGCTAATCTAAGCATTACAGACACTAGGACACCACAGCAATACCAACACAAAAGATTTCAAATCAGTGGACGTCAGGGTGCATGAGACAAAGCGGTTAGGAGCTGTGTGTGTGTGTGTGTGTGTGTGTGCGTGTGTGTTATTGTGTGTGTGTGTGTGTGTGTGTGTGTGTGTGTGTGTGTGTGTGGGTTTAAGGTGGCTCCCATGAGAAAGGCTCTCTCGATGCTATCGGCCGGCCCAACCTTTACACAGCACATTGGAATGCTTGGTATGCGAGCAGGGTTGCACGGTGGCCTTTGAATGGTCCGTGGCCTCCTTTGTCACTCTCCTTCTGCCAGTTGGTAAAGCATTAACAGGCCCCCTCCCTGCTGATACCAGTCTCCTGCTTATCAAAACCAAAATCCTGCACAAAGCAGGTGTCGTCTTCTCAAAGCAAACTGCATTTTAAAAATCTTGTTCATTATAATCAACAAATGACAAACAGGTTACAGGCCTCCCATCAGCCAGTTGCTGATGGGAGGGCTGGAATATTTAAACAGAGGAAGATGTACAAAAATAGTAATTTCGTTTTAGCACAGCATGCTTGCGGATAAATGCAAATGCTGTGTTATTCGACTGTGCATAAACAGACAACTTCGGTGCCAAGCTTTTAGCACATTGCCTCAGATATTGTACAAGTCTGCAGGTAAGATAAGCATCCTCGGATTGGCTACCTAGTCTGATCTTCCCATCAATCTAGTTTTTGATCATCTTTGAATTAGTATATACTTAATATATGCATTAAAATATACAGATTTTAGAAGCAAGGCCATAATACTGACATTTAAAATGATGTCAGACATTGCCTTAAGTCTGAAACAATTACTAGATTAATCATAAAGTACAGAATTAAGGAACAGCCATGAAAGCCCTCTAGCTGTGGCCTCTCAAATACAAATACAAAGTTTAGTACATATGTAAATATCTCTGGCTGTTAGGCTGCTGGTGACTCAAACTTAACTTTTCAAACTATCTGTACAACTTGGGCTTAAAAAGGAAATTGAAAATGTACACCAGAAACCAAACAATTAAGCAGAAAATTTGAGAAAAATAATCCTTAATTAGGAAGCTGTCACAATAATGTAATTGCTGCACTTTGTGATAAGTGAAACACTGACTAATTAGAGGAGTAATAAGTAAAGCCTCACAGCTGTTTTGCAGGATTGGTGACTGGAACGATTTCCAATCAACAGATGTTGGTGGGAAAAAAGCTGAACTACAGGAGAAAGGGGCTTTCTTGAGAAAATGTTTAATGTGAGGTGGTGAACTTGAAGGAGGAAAATACTTCTTGGGCAGCGATGCATCACTAAATGGGGTCATGTCATTGTGCGATTGTCTTCTCTGGACAAAAAAAAGAAGAAGCAGGGGGTCTGCATTCAGTAGATTTTCCTCAAATGGGTTAAGTGTGATCCCCATGCCAGACTGGACAGATGCAATCCGTGTGGGGGAGGTTTAATGAATAAGGAAATCATGGATCATGGCATTCTGTGGTGGATAATAATGGCATCATCTGCATGGAGTTGAATTAACATATCCTACAGCCACCCACGCGACTGAGACATTCAAGTTTGAAGGGTTCAGGTCAAAAAGAAAAAAAGAAAGAAATTAAAGCAAGAGGCTGAGGCATCTCCCCTGTGACATCAATAGGCTTAAATAAAAATAAATGGAGAACAGAGGTCAGTATTTGCAGTTATCGGCAATTATTTAGGAAGTGGAAGTGGACGCAGATGCAGCATTTTATAATGTATAGAAGTAGAGGAGCCCTGAGAAAATAACAGGCAAAGGTCATCACAATGAACATGAAGACAAATATATATTACAGCTCCAACACTAAAGTGAGAATGATTACAGTCAAAGAGACAGTATCCAGTGTTTGTCCCTCAGAGGCACATGTGTATGCACTATAAAGGCTGAAGACATAAGAGCAAATACTGGCCATAAATAACACTGCATTTTATTTGGGATTCACAAATGAACAGAACCAAAAGAGGAATTTCTCCCTTGTTGATGAAGTTAGCATAACCTGGTCAGCAGAAGACATGTAAAAGTTTCATATTTTTGTACAAAAAGGAAAATAGTTTTCTATGGTGTTTGCAGTAAAAAGTAGATAGAGATAAAGCATGCACCACAAAGGAAGGCTTCCTGAATACAGCGGCCATTCTTTTATTCAATAGAAGTTCAGACTTCCTGTGCACTTCTGCTCTCGTTAGGTAACTACAAAGATAAACCTGTAATGGTGCTACATCTCATGCAGAACTGGGATGTCCAGATCTCTGTTCAGCCTCCCTGTTTTGTCATAAAACAATATTACTGGAAACAACAGCCATAATGTCTCCTCCCTTTGTGTACAACTGACACTGACCACAGAAACAATTGCAGGGAAATAGCAGACGCAGCTAATTTCCCCATAGAAAACATTGTGGTCTAGTGTGGGTGCTTAGGTAAAATGACAATGTGGCCTTAACACATACCCAGAATAGATGGAAATCTGCAGACTGAAAGCCAAAATGGGTAACAATTGCTCACACTTTATAAATGAGTTGACCAGTAGCCTTTCTTAATTCACAGCTCTGCAAATCTCTGAAAGAATGGCAACATAACCCAAAATCTGGGACATAATGACATCTGATAAGAAATAATAAATCTACACATACTGCTTTTCTATTTTCCTCTAAATCCCCCATTCAAACTTCTAAAATTGAGACTTGGCACATTTTAACTATGTGTAAACTGTGGTAATTTTAGTGCCAGAAAAAGCATTATCAGCTAATCTCTTTCATGTATAAAATAAAGCAAAAGTACAGTTCTGAAGTTTGAAAATGACAGACGCAGAAAAATGCACGCCCTGGCAAACTACAGCTTCTATAACTTTAGATGGACTCAGTTTCATTGGTTCTCCCAAAGGGTTCATTTTATAGGAGCACAGGCAATGAAGACAAAGTAATCAATGACTGAAATTGTGTCGCTTTGCCACTTAATGATGCTCTCAGTCATTATGTTGTCCAATCAAAGGCATCATAGCTAAACCCTGAGGCCATCATCAGAGTGCCCAAAGCATGTCAGTACCAATCAGTGAATATCCCAAGCTTCAGCCAGCGGGTGGAGGAATTGGTGATTGCTGACATGGTTTGAGTAGGACGCGAGTCTTTCAGCTTAATTAGAGGCATTTATTTTTAATGATCCTGATTTTTATTACCTCGTTTTGTTGTCTGAAAAATATTATACTCATACTCCATGTTATAGACTATGGCAGAGACTATGGAAAATCCCTGCAAGAGAATAGGGTGACAGAGTCTTTCTTACACGGCACAGTCTCCTCCAACAACCACCAAAACACTGCACATGTGCCGACAGCTCATTCACAGGTGATACTGCCCGTTTCTCTGCCACTCCCTGTACAGAGTGCTGCAGAGAGAAAATGTCTGAGGCAGGAGAGCAAAATCTTGTGGAGTTGTTGCTAGGCAGATTTTGTTAAAAAAAAAGTTATTAAAGGGATATGAACAGTCAGTACATCTAGCTACAAAGTTAACAAGGCAACAGTGAGATGAACTGAAGTATATTGAGCAAGATGTCCAGCACCAAAGGTGAGATTGTATACATTTAGAATTTAAAAAACACAAAAACAAAAACCAGAATCCCAAAATTAAAAACTAAATGTTAAACCAAAACACCTGAAAATATGGGTATATCTCTAGATGATAATGGTAGCTGGTAAGTGTCAACATTTATTTAGGGATGCTTTGAAAGCTTTAAAGTAGCTTTTGGCTCCATTCATTTCAAGTAATTAAACTTATCCGTCCAATAACTTAATAAATGTGCCCTTAAGTGTGTGTGTGTGTGCATACCTGTGAAGGCAAACTGTACAGGAAAAAGGTCAGTGTTACTGTTGCCCTCTCTTTGTAATCCTCTTCCCATGATTGGCCTATGTGGGTTTTGCATGTGGATACAGCCTGGACTGTCCTATCTCATTGAGAAATGAAAGAATGTTATGGAAATGTGAGAGATGAGCCAGGTGAAACTTGGCCAGGGCTGGCATCAACATTTACACAGAGTGAATAAACCTCTTTAATCGTTCAGAATGATCACTCTCCTATCCTAGATGAATCGGAGAGTGCCAATTTGTGCCGCCTGTCATCTGAGGATCCCCAAATATGCTTGAGAAAGTGGCGGCAAACTGTGTGGGGGACATTCTCACAGTGGCTCGGTTGCTTGCCTTGACCTGAACTTGCTACACAAACTCGCTCGTCAAGCTGGCTTTGGTACTTCCCCTCTTCTGATACTGATCTCATCTGGAACACAGTCTACACATACTCTTTATCTCTTCAACAAAGCAGTAATTTGCTTCTTTGCTGTTCCAAATAAAAGGTTTCAAAAGGAAATGTGCATGAGAAACATCTGAAGTGAGATTTAACCTTTATCTAAGCGGATCAGAGATCAGAGATTAGAGGATGCTATTGAACCATCTGGTATAACCAGTGAATTAAGCACAAATAATGAACATTTACCCTTCTTTTAAGCTTTAGCATCAAGATTTAGTAGGCAAGGTAGCAGCGTGGCTCTCTGGATGGCAATGCTGATTTTAACAAAATATGGATGGTTACGAGAAGATGAACTTTTCTTCTAGCACATCTAGAATGTAACATATTACTTAAAAGGTCAAAAGTACCAAATGGATTGAAATTACATTTAGTACATCACATGCACACCAACTCACTGTGGCTCCATAAACATGCCTTTTATTCAGCCACACTGTGTATATTACAGGTGGGCAATATGGCCTTGGAGTTATATGATTTATGATGACATTAAAAGAAAACGACTGAACAATGTTTCATCAGTGGTTACAGTAATAAATACTGCTGCCTGCCAGATGCAAACAAAATGAAGGGCACTTTCCATCCTCCTTTTACAAGGAGCTACTGTCATTGATGACAGGCTACCTATTCGAGTGTGAATGTACTGCTACCAGGTACCAGCAGCATTACAATGCAATAGCAGTGACACAGCATAAGTAAAATATAAGCAAAACAGTAGCCTAGGCTGCACTCTCTTGGGAAATTCTAAGGAAAAAAATAATACAACTGTTTAACA